AGCTAAATACATCATTGGAATTCGAATTTTGGACCAAAAATTGGATAATTGAAACTTCATACACCAAACTATTGAGTTTTGAGTGGGCAATTGACCTCCGATTTGGGAGATTTTTATATGGTTAGACTCGCGAGAGTACGAGAGTTCTGAAAATGTGAAAATTATTCGATTACGGGGCGTTGTCCTGAAGGGCATTTTGGTCATTTCACCTAATTTTACGCCGTAGCTTTGAATTTATTAGCAATACCAGGTGTTTGCGATGTTATTTACGATGTGTAATTTAATTGAATAGATTTGAGCCATTTGGAGTAGGATACTCGTGGCAAGAGCGTGGTTTCTAGTTGATATTGAGCCGGTTCGAGGTAAGTGGCTTGTCTAACCTTGTGTGGGGGACCTTTCCCCTTAGGATATGATATTTGATATTTGAAAGCCTCGTACGTGAGGTGACGAGCGCGTACTTGAGCTAATTGTTGAAAATCCGGCTTTACTTAAATACTTTGACTGAGTTTCTTTCTTATTTGCTTTATTTTACTTGCAATTATAGTCTGTGTTAGTTTACAGAAGCATGTTTAGTTGACCTACCTGCCTACTTGCTTAAAATTTGCTTCGCTTGTATTTCGTGAAGTATGTATGGCTAGAATTTACTGTTACTTGTTATGAGTTGAGCATTTATTTCGATACTCTTGAGCTGTTATTGTGTGTTTAAATTTGGGACTACGGGATAGCATCCCGGGAGATCCCCTGCACGTGTTTACGATCTGGACTGAGGTGCGGGATACCAAGAGATCCCTAGCACATTTATATATATTCAGGATACCAAGAGATTCTCGNCTTCCGGTACGCCCCCCCCCCCCTTGTTTGTTTACTTTGGGACTGCGGGTTCGATTCCCGATAGATCCCCCTACACTTTTACTTTGGGACTGCGGGTTAGATTCCCGATAGATCCCCCTGCACATTGATGGTTGGACTATGGGTCGGTATCCCGGGAGATCCACTGGACAGTTGAGAAAAGGGCTACAGGACGGTGTCCTGGGAGACCCTCATTGGTATCATTGACATTGAGTTGTATTTACTCTGTGTTTACTCTGTCTTTTGTAGTTGTTATTACCTCGTTGACTTGTCTTATCTCACTGCTGTACTTATTATATCTGTCAGATTGTTATATTGTTAAATTATTATTATTATATTTTGTCTCAGTAGGGCCCTGACCTTCCTCGTCACTACCTAACCGAGGTTAGGCTTGGCACTTACTGAGTACCGCTGTGGTGTACTCATGCCCTTCCTGCGCATGTTTTTCATGTGCAGATCATCCAGGTACCTCCACTCAGGCGCACTATCAGTGAGGCAGGAGGACTACGGAGACTTCGAGGTAGATCTGCTGCGTCCGCAGACCGACGAGTCTCCCTCTTACTCTATCTTTAGTACTTAGTTTTCCTTCTTTCGGTTGTTAGAAATTCTGGAGTTTGGAACCTTCACTATACACTTCTGTAGCCTATGTTGCCCGTGAGTTTTCGGGTTTTGGGAATTGTTTTAGACTTGTGATTTTTGAGTTGTACTTGCCAAGCGGCATTCAGTACAGTTTCCTTTAGATATTTGATTTGATTTTCTCTATTTTTCCGCAATTATTATATTTCCGCAAATGTTAGGCTTACCTGGTCATGGGGACCAGGTGCCGTCATGACATGTTCACGGTTGGTGAACTAGGATCGTGACAAACAACTTAATAGATATATATGAACAAGTCACTGAAAACAACTGAATAATAGATAGAAGCCTTCCGAAAACAAAATATTGGTACACACCCTAAAACCGGTGGAACTGAGTCATAAGCTCTACAGAATACAACTAGAGTACTACTACATCATTATCCGAAAGAAAATACAACAGGAAGTAAAGCAGGGTAGGTGACTCCGAGGCCTGCGGGCGTGGAGCAGGTATACCTTGAAGTCTCCCAAGCAGCAGCTATAACAATCCTCTAACGACCGACACAAGCACACGTACCTGGATCTGCACAAAAAGATGTGCAGAAGTGTAGTATGAGTACACCACAACGGTACCCGGTAAGTATCGAGCCTAACCTAAGTAGAGTAGTGACAAGGCAAGGTCAAGACACCTACTAGGATATAAAATAGACAATATGAAATTGTAATAGGGATATGAATAGAAAGTGAAGAAAACAACTAATATGGAGAGATAATAACAAGAATTAGTATCGAAAATTGACAATAGGAATAACCGGAAATATACAATAGGAATAACATAAAAGAAGCAACTAAAGTGCTACAATGATCATATACGGCAACAACTGCTTGAACGAATAAGGAATGACACAACAAGATATATTTTCCACCAAAAACACCTTGCAACATGAAACAAATAGCACGAATCACAATGAGGTACCGCCTCGTGTATAATAAAATCAAAACCAAGGTACCACCTCGTATAATCAAGAATCACAACTGAGGTACCGTCTCGTATTCATTTTTCTCAATTTCAATCACAATATTTTCTTATACCGCCGCGTGAGCCTTACGTTTGAAAATAGGTTTTGAAAACAGTTTTCTCAAAATTGCTACACGCACTTTAGCCCACCTTATGACCATATATAATAACTTGCCAACAACAACAATATCAATATTTCCACAACAATATCCCATGGCTCCACCACAACGTATACAAATATATCAACAACAGCAATAGATAAAAATACTCAATAAGATAGATGTTTCAATAATAACCAACATCGCCTCAACGTATTAACGACTTTCACATTTTCAACACCGAATAACTCAACAATGAGAGAAATAATGTATAACCACAATATTATATATGAATAACTCACAATGAAAGGGATAATATTCAATGATGATTCTCAATTAAAGGAAATCAACAAGTAAAGGGATAATATGAACAATTACATCAAGTAACGAAAATCAATAGGGAAAGAGATAACACGAACACTAACTTCAGCAATGATAATTAACAATGAGGAGATAGCATGTAACTATAAAGGAGGCAAACCGGTCAAATACTACGTACAACCCGTGTACACACTAGTCACCTTGCGTATACAGATTTCACGTAGCACAATTGAATCAAACAATACAAATCCTAATGGGTAGTTGCCCCACACGAAGTTAGGCAAGACACTTACCTCAATACAGCCAATTCGACACTCGAAAATAGCTTTTTCATTAAAATCCACCTCCACGCGGCTCAAATATAACCAAAATCGACTCAATATCATCAAACAATGCTAGGGAATTAAATTTTAATAGATAAAGTTAAGATCTTTACACTTTTTCGAAAAAGTCAACAAGAGTCAACCCGGGGCTCGCCGGTCGAAACCCGGGTCCAATGGTAGATTCCGTCTACCCATGACCCCACGAGTTCATATATGTAATTAGTTTCAAAATGCAAGTCCAAATTGACTCTTAAAACATAACTTCTTATTTTTCAAAAACTTGACAAAATTTCACAAATTTCTACTTTGCTTCACATGATTTTGATGTTAAACTCTAAGATATGTTGATGGAACATGATTAGAAATAGATTAGAATCACTTATCCAAGGTTTGTAGGTGAAAATCCCCTCTCCAAATCACCGCTTACCGAGTCTAGGGTTCAAAATGTGAGAATAAGTTCAAAAATCCCATCTCCCATCCCTTTAACCAGCCGCAGATGTCGCATTTACGACACAGGATCCGCACTTGCGAACCCTCGCAATTGTGAACCAGGGCTCGCATTTTCAAACCCCGACAAACTTAGCATATATCACAATTGCGATGCAGTCTTCGCAATTGCGAACTGAGAAATCTCGAAAATGCGAACATGACCAAATCCTGCTAGCATGCGAAGATGAGGTCGCATTTGCAACAATTACCCGTCACTTGTCACCCTCGCAATTGTGAGCCTGGTGTTCGCATTTGCGACATCAGACACCAGATTTCCCTATTTTTCAATCCAAACCACTCCAGAACGTGTCTGAAACTCATCCGAGCCCTCAGCGCTCCAAACCAAACATACACACAAGTCTAAAAAAGTCATACAGGCTTGCTCGCATAATCAAAACACAAAAATAACATCTAAAACTACGAATTGAACTCTAAAATGCATGAAATTCAAAGAAATTTTCAAGAACTTCTAAAATTAAAACTAAGCGTCAGAATCCTATCAAATAACCTCCAAACAACACCAAATTTTGCAGACACGTTCTAAATGCCATAACGGACCTATTCCAAGTCCCAAAATTAAATTTCGAGCGCGTTAGCTAAAATTCAACCTACGACCAAAGTTTTTAACTTAGAATTGCCAAATTTCGGCAAATCAACACAAATCAATCTACGGATATCCAAAATCAATTCCGGTGATACGCCCGAGTCTAAAAGCATGATACGAAGCTATCAGAGTTATAAAAATACAATTTCGGGGTCGTTTTTACAAAAGTCAAAATTTGGTCAACATTTTCAAATTTAAACTTCTAAGTCAAGAATCAAGGGTCCAAATCAACCCGAAAGCTTCCCAGAATGAAACTAATCAACCCCGCAAGTCATAAAAGCATAAACATACAAGTGAAAGCAATAAAATAGGTAGCGGGGCATAATTACACAAAATAACTGGTCGGGGCGTTACATTCTCCCCCTCTTAAAACAAACGTTCATCCACCAACGAGCATAAGGACATACCTAAAGTGGTGAATAGGTGAGGATAATGATTCCGCATGTCGTGCTTGGTCTCCCAGGTCGCCTCCTCGACCAGATGACCCCTCCATTGAACCTTCACTGAAGCAATATCATTTGATCTCAACTTCCAAACCTTCCGTACGAGGGGGAGGCGATGACGTTCGCCTATGGGTTGGTTTGAGCCTAGTGAGGCTATATTTTTTGGTACAAACTTGGTCTGTGATGCTTTGGAAAAGGTTAAGGTGATTTAGGAGCAACTCGTATAGCTCAGTCCAGGCAAAAGAGTTTTGTGGATCGGAAGGTTTGAGATGTGGCTTACATGGCGAGTGAGAAGGTTCTTCTCCGTGTGTCACCTATGAAGAGCGTGATACAGTTTTGGAAGAAAGGCAAGTTGAGCCCAAAGTTTATTTGCCCGTTCGAGATCTTGGAGAGAGTTGGGAAGGTTGCTTATAGGCTTGCATTGCCTCCCAGCCTAGCAGGGGTACATCTGGTATTTCACATTTCCATGCTTTGGAAGTACCATGAGGACATGCCGTATGTGGACTTCAGCACGGAGCAACTTGATGAGAATTTGACCTATGAGGAAGAGCCGATAGATATTCTTAACCGGCATATTCGTAAGTTGAGATCTAAGAGTTTTCCTTATGTGAAAGTGCAATGGCTTACATGGCAGGGAAGAAGGTTCTTCTCCATGTATCACTTATGAAAGGCGTGATGCGGTTTAGGAAGAAAGGTAAGTTGATCCCGAAGTTTATTGGCCCGTTCCAGATCTTGGAGAGAGTTTAGAGGTTGCTTATAGGCTTGCATTGCCTCCCAGCCTAGCAGGGATACTTTTGGTATTTCACGTGTCCATGCTTCGGAAGTACCATGAGGACATGTCGCATGTTTTGGACTTCATCTCGGTGCAACCTGATGAGGGAAAGGTAGGCAAAACAGATTCTCATTCCATAGAGAATGTCTACCTGATAGATGGCTTGAAATATAGCCTAATAAGTGTGTCACAATTGTGTGACAGAGGTAACCTTGTGGCTTTTACCTCCACCAAATGCTTTGTGATTAACCTTATCACTGACAAGATTGTTTTGCAGGGAAAAAGAGTTAACAATATTTACATTGTAGATTTTTCCACTCTTTCAGAAAATGAACTCACTTGTTTAAGTGTGTTGGTTAATGATCCCCTCCTGTGGCACAAAATACTTGGTCATGCAAGTCTAAATCAGCTCAACAAATTAGTCTCTAAAGACTTGGTGATAGGGCTACCTAATATCAAGTTCAAGGAAGACAAAGTTTGTGAGGCATGTGCAAGGGGGAAGCAGGTAAAGTCATCCTTCAAAAGCAAGAAAATGGTAAGTACAACCAAGTCGTTGGAACTGGTCCATATGGATCTATGTGGTCCAATGAGAACCATGAGCAGAGGTGGAAAGAAATATGTAATGGTGCTAGTTGATGATTATTCTCGATTTACCTGGGTTCTATTTCTAACCTCCAAAGATGAAGCATTTGACATGTTCTCTGCATTTGTTAGAAAAACTCAGAAATAATTAGGAAATCAACTTGCCTCCATTAGGTCTGATCATGGAACTGAATTTGAAAATTCCAAGTTTGCTGAGTTCTGTGATGAAAATGGTATAGATCATAACTTCTCTGCCCTTAGGACCCCTCAACAAAATGGAGTAGTTGAAAGAAAGAATAGAACTCTTGAGGATATGACTAGAACCATGCTACTTTTTAGTAAATTGCCTCACAGCTTCTGGGCAGAGGCTGTAAATACTGCATGTTACATAATAAATAGATGCATGACCAGACCTCTGGTAGAGAAGACTCCCTATGAGTTACTTAAAGGGAGAAAACCAAACATATCCCATCTTAGGGCATTTGGTTGCAAGTGCTATGTGCACAATAATGGAAAAGACTCCCTAGGAAAGTTTGATCCCAGAAGTGATGAGGGAGTATTCTTGGGATATTCTTCACATAGCAAAGCATATAAAGTGTTTAATAAAAGAACTTTGTGTGTAGAAGAAAGTGTGCATGCAGTATTTGATGAAACTAACATTCTTTCTGAGAGACAGGAACATGAAGATGATGCCATTGGATTGGTGAAAGACTTGACTGAAGCATCAGCTCAGGTCAAATTGGCACCAACAGAAGGAACAGGTGATGGAACAGGTTCTTCCATACAGGGCAACCTGACAGGGGGAAGAAATCAAAGAGGAATTGAAATAAACTCCTTCAAGGAACTTGTTCATGATCCTGTTCCTCAGCAAATGGTAGAAACATCTAGCAGAAGCCAGTTGGTTGTGAAACCTCACAAGTATCAAAGTTCTCATCCCATTGAGAACATTATCACTGATCCAACATCTGGAGTTAAAACCAGATCACAATTAAAAAATATGTGTGCTTTTGATGCTTTTCTATCTATCATTGAACCTAAAAATGTTGTTGAGGCTTTGCAGGATGCAGATTGGGTGAATGCAATGCATGATAAGCTTAACCAGTTTGAAAGGAGTCAAGTTTGGCACCTAGTACCAAGACCCAAGGACAGATCAGCCATTGGTACAAAATGGGTCTATGATAGTCTTCAGGAAACAAACTTGATAAGATGAATTAGTTTACAAGGAACAAGGCAAGTTGTGGCCAAGTCAGCCATGGGAGGATGCAAGACAGATGAGACTTTTGACTCCAGGCAAGACAGAAGAGCAATCAGACTTCTCATAGCCTTTGCAGCACATATGGAATCACTCTTCATCAGATAGTATGCAAAAGGCCTTTCCTAAATGGCTACCTAAAAAGAAAAGTGTATTGTGAAAACAACGCTCCCGAGGGTTGAAAGTAAGAATGTCCTGAGTGGACAAGCTGGACGAGGCGTCGCTATGGACTCAAGCAGGCCCCAAAGCGTATGTATGAACGACTGCAAATTTTTATATCCCCTGCTGGGAGGGCAGGTATCAAGAGAGGTAAAATAGATAGTACCTGTATTCTTAAGGGAAAAAGGTTAGGATCTCCTGGTTGTGCAAATTTAGTGTTGGATGAATATCTTTTTGGGGCCACACACTGACAAGTCTAAGTAAGATTGTAAAATAATGGGGAGTGAGTTTAATAGAGCCATGATGTGGTGAGCTAATTTTTCTTAGGCTTACAGATCAACAAAGTCCAAATGGAACCATGATCAATCATCAGCAGAAGTATACAAAGAGCTAGATCAAAAAGTTTAAATGGAGGAATCTAAAGAAATAGACACACCCATTGCAACTGCCTACTAAATTATATGTTGAGAACTTTGGTTCATCAAGTTTGATCAAAAGTTGTATAGGGGTTATGATTGGTTCACTCTCGGTATCTCACTGCTAGTAGACCTTGACATTATTTTCAGTGTAGGACTTTGTGCTCGTTTTCAGGCAAATCCAAAAGAGTCCTCACTTGACTGCTTTGTCAAGAGGATACTGAGATATCTAAAAGTAACCACTGATCTATGCCTTTTGGTTTATCTAAATGGTAGTTAATTTTGATCTGAGTAGGATATGCTGATCTGTTATGCAGGTTTCCTAGTGATAGAAAAAGACCTCAGTATGGCAACTTTTTTTGGTTTCATGTCTTGTGTCATGGGCTACCAAAAAGCAAAAATTCGGGCCCTATCTACTGACTGAGCTGAAGTATGTTGCTGATTAGATATATATAGATTGTTGCCCAATTACTATGGATCAAAACAACAACTGGTTAGATTTTTGGAAGTTGAAGTGGGATGTATTTCCAATAAATTCTGTTATAATACACTAATGCTATAAGTATTGACAAAGAACCTGTTCATCATAAGTAGGACTAAGCACATAGATGTTAGACACCACTTCTTAAGAAAGATAACTATGAGAAAGGATTTGATTTCAATAGAATTCGTGCTATGATAAACAAATAGCTGACATCTTTACTAAAAGCACTGAAGTAGAGAAAACTTTGGAGGAACAGGTTGGAATTTAGTGGATTGATTAGATCACCTTAATAGGTTCAGTCAGAATGCACATGAAAAAAAAAATGGAAACAAAAATAAAAAAAATTTTGGTTAGAGTTCTAACTTATTGTGTAATAATATGCTAGAATCAATTTCTTACTCAGTTTCATACTTTAATCAGTATACTCCGTGACATTGTGTATATTTGGACTCATCTGATACTTACAAAGTTTTTTTTCTATTATGACATTTGAGATGTTCAAGAGAGTTCTACTGAAGAACCTGGTTCATCAGTATATGCTTATGAGATAGTTCAGGTTATGTTTTCTTTACGTTTGCACAATTAGAAAGATTATTTATCAATCATAAGCAGAAGTCCTACATTCATCAAATTTCTCTAGAATTCTATCGTGAGCATTAACAAGTATTCATCTCCTAGAACTTAAAGAAACGGGATTTGCCTTAAAAAATCTAATCCTTT